TAATACCTTGACCTCCTTCCAACTCCATAAGACTGCATAGCTTATTTATGAAGATAATAAAAATCGGAGGGCTCAAAACACAGCCTTGGCGAGTACCGATGTTACAATAAAAACTATTTGATATACCCTTAGATGTCCTGACTGAAGCTGATAAAGAACTATACATAGAAGTTAACAGCATAAGAAATTTACCTCGTATACCAGCTTCATAAAGTGACTTTAGAAGAACATCATGCCTTAGAGTATCAAAAGCCTTGGCAAAATCTACAAAGAGACAATAAAATCCCCTTTTTTTGCTAATATATTTTTGAATTAACGACTGCAATAAAAATATTTGGTCAATTGTTGAATAATCAGCCCTGAAACCGGCCTGTGATTCACTGATAATATCATGAACTTCACAGAAGAAGAAGAAGAAGAAGAAATATAGTTTATTAATGTGTCACATGCTGCAGAACATTAAAAAGGACGGTACATTATTGCGAGAGTTTAAAAGCAGCATCCGGCCATAAGGCCTATGAGACACAAATATCACAGTTGTATAAAACATTAGTAATAAAATCACACCCACACATACACACACGCAGGCCGAACTGTATACACAAACACAAAACGCATACACCTTCACACACCCACACGCACGCACACATACACATACACACACACACACGCACGAGCGCACGAGCCTACAGACAGACACCTACGACAGACACACCCACATACACGCGCACGCACGCACGCACACACACTTACACTTTCTTACCTAAAATGCATAAATTACATAAATAACAAACATGTTGACGTTATTGTTATAAGTACATTGTAGAGTTACCTATTCTACAGAAATATTCCGGCGCCTAAACATAGTATGGACGAGTGCGGCAAGGGGCTTTACGAACTGGTTATTTGTAAGTAAGAATACCATTTTATCTACTGCTGACATAGATGAGAATGTAGGATGGACACTGGTTATTTCCTTCCAAAGATTATATCTGAGATCTGAATAATAATCACAGTTAACCAGAAAATGTAATTCATCTTCAACGGCATTGCTACTACAGCGAGTACACACCCTTTCATGAAGGGGAGACTTCGGACGAGAATATCTACCCAATTCTACCTCTAATGGCAAAGTGCCACAACGGAATTTACTCAAGATACTACGATGTGACGCTGGAGGCGGCGATTAAGAATTGACATAAACACTTTATATCACTCTGCTGTATCCACATCTCTATATTCTCATTGTTTGTGTCAACTGGCTTTACCTTATCCCAATTATCATTGTTTTTATAACTGCTTTTTATCTGTCCTCTGTGATTGATTGTATATGCATGTACATGTCTGGCTTCCTGTAAATCTGGTATATATAGTTTGATTTCTACATCTGTCTTTAATCACCTGAAGAAGGGGCAAGAAGTAGCCCAGAAACGTCGTGTTATACAATAAACAAGAAGTTGCCATCCATATACTCGTCTTATATATTCACCAACTTCTATATGCCTCTCGAGAATCTCATATTCCTACGCATAAGTCATTTGTATCCATAGGTTTACTCATCCATATTTCTACTCATATGTCATCTGTATCTTCTACGCATAGATCACCTGTATCCACACTTCTTCCCATAAGTCATCCGTATCCACATTGATGCGTGAAGGTCCGGGTTAGAATTGATCTTCAGTAACCCATGCTTGTTCGTAAGAGGCGACAAACGGGATCGGTAGCCAGGTTCGCTGGCCTGGTTGACACTGGTCATCGATTCCCAGTTGCGCAGATCGATGCTCATGCCGTTGACCACTGGATTGTCTGGTCCAGACTCGATTATTTACATACCGCCACCATACAGCTGGAATATTGCTGAGTGCGGCGTAAAACTAAACTCACTCACTCACTGTATCCACATTTCCACCCATAGGTCACCTGTACTCATATCTCTACCCAAAGATTATCTGTATCCATATCTCTACCCAAAGATTATCTGTATCCATATCTCTACCCAAAGATTATCTGTATCCATATCTCTACCCAAAGATTATCTGTATCCATATTTCTACCCAAAGAGTATCTGTATCCATATCTCTACCCAAAGATTATCTGTATCCATATTTCTACCCATAGATCATCTGTATCCATATCTCCATCCAAACGTCATCTGTATCCATATCTTTACCCATAGGTCATCTGCATCCATATTTCTATCCACAGGTCATCTGTATCCATATCTCCACCCAAACGTCATCTGTATCCATATCTCCACCCAAACGTCATCTGTATCCACATCTCCACCCAAACGTCATCTGTATCCATATATGTGTGGCTAACCCTCCATCCTTACATATCCCCACCTTCAGCACACGCGTGTGCACATGTATCCACGTGTATTTACGCTGGCATGTACGCGCAAGGCGTGTAATAGTAATACAGCGAGTTTGCATGCAGTGACGTGTACAGATGTTGTGGATGGGTAAAACAGATGGTGATATCGATACCGACGGTATAGCAGGCAGGAGAAACCTGGATACATATAGTCTCAGTCTCGGTGGGCGCTTTCGTTGAATCCTCCTCCCACTGGGGTACAATCCCGACCCATTTGTTCAATATAGGAGTCACGACATACACTCTGCTTTATGCATTAACTAATCTGTTAACAGACCCAACAGAATAAATTTGACACATGAATCCTCATGAAGTCTAGAATGATTTGGCAAGTATATATTGTCTCAGCTGTCGAAATAATCATTGCACTTCACTTCATTTGGATTATATTTTGTAATTTTTAAATTTATATGTTTTCAATAATGCAACTTTATTTCTGTGGCTAAATCTTGGTTTAGCATGTTGCCGTTCAATGTCCAGCTCCATGGTATATCTGATGTAATTTACAGAGTATATTCTTTACATTATTTATGTTTTGCTTGTTCAGGTTGCAAAATGTGACTACACATCTGACTTTGAGTGTGTTGTGAACTGTCCTCTTTACAGATGCCTCCACCAATTTAAAGTTAATTCGGGAATAACAAATAGGCAATCTGCCACACAGACTGCGTCCTCATTATAACGCGAGGTATGTTTAAAACTCTTTCTTATCTCAAGCCTTTATGATGGTTATCTATAATAATTATTCTCGGAAGATTAGCGCTTTTCAAGACCACAATACTACTATCCCGGGGCTAGCGTAAGTGAGCACTATTAACACCGCCCAGTGTTGCTCGCTCAGCTCCACTTACTTCCGGGGTGATCATCTCTTCCGTTGGGAGTGTTTATCTCCCAGTCGGGATGACGAAGCCGGTCGAGGTGTTACGTCCCTGCTAGACCGTGATATATGAGATATGTACACTACGTGCAGTATACGGATGTTGTTATTAGTTTCTATTTCTGAAAACATTTGGATTTTATGTAAAACACGTGAAGTTCTTAAAAATGATCGGTATAGATATGAAACTAGATTAGGCCATTTAAATTAGTTATTAGATTTTCTCCCTTCTTCACACTGAGAGGAGACCTATGTTTTATGCATTACATGTATATACATATTAACAACAACACCACGTCTCGGGTATCTGTCCACGGGTATAATTCATATGAAGTAGTAAATATTTCAACATGTGTAGTTCATCAATTAAAGAAGCGAGACTCGCTTGCAACAAATTTTCTTAATATTTGCATATAGCTACTTGAGGACCTAAATTGATTTGAGGCGTTTTCTAATGATGGGCGGGGGCTGACATCTATTAATATGTTCATGTGGGCTTTATATTGTCTGTCTCCCACCGCCCCACGCCATGGAGAATGTATAAAATAAATAACCAAGCAATTGTCCTCAATGATTTGCCATTGTTTTGCTCCCTGCTCTCTATTTGGATTTAATTTGTTATTTTGTACTATTTTATAAAAGGCGATAATTTATTTTTGTATATTTATTTATTCATGTTTTTTTTTTTTTTTTTTTTTGGGGAGAAACCAATTGTCACGTTAGTTGCATAACTAGCTGGTTGTAATGTTTGTTTGCATGGTGGGTTTGGGTGGTTCAAGGCTGATCCTTCCCCGATAAACATACTATAATTAAGATGGAAATTCCAGAAAATATACCGTTCAGTCGCTAAACATGTTCATGTATGAAAGCACCCGTGAAGTTCCGGGTTAGAATATTGATCTTCAGTAACCCATGCTTGTCGTAAGATGCGACTAACGGGTTCGGGTGGTCAGGCTCGCTGACTTGGTTGACACATGTCATCGGTTCCCACATTGCGCAGATCGATGCTCATGCTGTTGATCACTGGATTGTCTGGTCCAGGCTCGGTTATTTACGGACCGCCGCCATATAACTGGAATGTTGCTGAGTGCGGCGTAAAACTAAACTCACTCACTCATGTATGAATGTTTCCATTTAGGGTGATTTATTATGATATTTTTTTAAAAGAAGTGTTCCACTTCCATTGCTTTCCCTAGTCCCTTTCATTTCGACAGAGGCATATTTCATTACTATTTAGGGAACTCTCACCATTCGCATAGATTCCTTCACATTAGAATATATTGTTTCCAAGCGTCCATGTACAGAAACAGGTAGGACTGAACACACCTGCTTGCACTCTGGGTTAATTAGTTAGTTTGTCGTACAAAATGTATGATCTTTTATGCATGTATCATTTAAATATGAAAATGTGCTCTAAATTATTCCCGGTGATTTGTTCTTGTTGTTTTAAGTCGATCACATCAGCCATCAGCGTTGGAATGTTAAATACAACAATCGTTCGTGTAATATGTTAGGCAAAATTGAATTAGAAAAAATACGCTGTCGTGCGTGAAATTGGTGTGTGATTAAACTACACAGTAAATAACCAGCATATATCCAAATAATAATCAACGGACGCAATGGGAAGTTGCCAGTTTGTGTATTTAGTTACGTAACACTCGGCCCATACACACACGAAAAGTGACGCTTCAGTCGGAAGGACCTGTCGAATATTGACCAATCAGAGCCAAGTGTCGCATTCGCTGCGGGCTTCTAATTTACTGAGCCCGCAATGAGTAATTTGTGTTTGTTAGACGTGTGGGGCTTACAGACACACGTTTAGAGACCAGTTGACCTAGTAGGAACCATGTATATCTGTACCCGACTTTGTACGTAAGGAGGATGTAAGATCTCGCCATGTAGACCCATTTGTGGACGGCAGGATGTTTGGCAGTATCGGCAGAAGTGAAGCAGCGGAGTCTTGGAATATCCAGGGATCGTGAGTACCCATTTCCGATCAACCACTTGCTTGTTTACTGTCACGGGCATGAGTCGAGTCAATTAATGCAGTCATGTATTTGATTTCTCAGCCGAAGCAATGCTGCTTGAAATCTAGTGTCCTACATTCAACTTGGTGTGATTTAGTGACCCTACTCGCTGTGACATGAAGCGCCAACATATTTCTGTTACACCCTCTTCGCTTCCGCATGACTAGCGGCGCCCCAATTCAACTCTTTGTCAGACTGGAAGATTTGTGTTACTGAATAAATCCCCCCGTTATATCACTAATAGTCGTAAACGGATCATGTAATGCTAATACAGGGATGTATTCTAACTTCGACTAAGCGAATGCTTGTTAATTTACATAAGAATTTATTCGTTGAAGCGTGTGCTCTTTTTTAACATTGTTTACACAATTTAGGAATCTTACAACACTATCTGCCAAACCTTTCTAGGTTGGGTTCAGGGTAGGTATTTTTCACGCATGTATCATAAGTTCAAAGGTAATTTCATAATCAGTGATATCATGTCATAATCGTATATGATAATATGTCAACGATGGTAAAATAACACATGAATATAAACCAAGAGCACGCTTTCTTGTCAGTTGTTCTAGTGAAGGTATGCTATCAGAAAGAGTGTGAAGATGTGAAATGTTGGTATGATCTTTACATTTATCACTCAACCTGTAGGTTGTCTCATGTGTCTGGCCAGCTGAGATCATGTAGATAACAAATAACCCTCGTGATCACTAGTTTCCAGTATTACTAAAATTCAGGAAGGACAAATGTATTTTCCTTGTTGACTACCTCTTTTACCATTAGATAGTAGTGGATAGCAACTCTTTGACGCAAATCATTTGTCAGGACTTCTGAAAACAAGAATATGAATGATACAACATATACCCTGCTGACAGGTGTGTTTGATCTATGATCTAAGACATTGACAACTCTGGTGTAAAAAAATGGCGATTCACTCACTCACTTGGTGTAAGTGTAGGTGAGGTCAAAGGTTCAACCACATTGCAGTGGTGATCAGTACCTGTCTGACGTATGTGTTGATTCCTTCTTCCGTGCCTGGCCGTACGCCTGGGGGCATGATAATTAGGGTTTACTCATATATGCCTCACATAACATTCATTGATTACATCTTAGCCAAATATGCTGTTAAATTCTTTTTGCTCTAAATTGTCAATACATACTTTCAATTCTCATCTTATAATGATTTGTAATCATAAGCAACTTCCCTGTGTTCATGATCAAGGATTAAAAAGTATGTGTTAAATGTTGGTTTTGTGTTTTAGACTTGGTCCTTATCAGATTTTGTTCATAACTTGTTCTAAATTTTGAGGAGAGAACATTAAGTACTGACTCTGCATGCTAAGCACTGTGAATACTTTCAACATGTGCTGAGTATAAACACATTTATGTAAGTTCATAATTTATGTTAACTAAACATATCTTCTTGTTAAAATAAGTGGTAGCGGTAATTGCTTTTGATGATGTATGAATTCTTCCTGTCAAAGTTAAACTGAAAATATTTATTTTGTGGTTTCAGTTTTATTTTGACCATTATAAAAGTGGCAAAATAACATTCTTGAATAACAATGAAAGTCGTAGATTTATGTTGACTGCATTGAATTTCTGTATGTTATGTCCTGTTTCCTTTCATTCATGTTATCACGAACAACTTGTTCCCTGTATCAGGTGTACTTGTATAATCTCAGTCTGTGTCAAAGACTTTTAATGTATTAGCCTGAACTTGGCTCTTAGCAACATTTTCAGTAGATTTTGTATTACATTATGTACTATTATTCGCTGAGCATGTGAGACTGAACAGAAGTTTGTTACACTTGATTTTTGGTAAGTAATTAAGTAATTTTACTTCTCATTTTCACATGTTGTATAAGTATATAGAATAAGAGTACAATCTGACATCAGGTTGAAATTAAAAATTTGTCCTTATTTAACAGATGACTTGTTCCCATTTTGTCGAAGTAAACTCTAATATGTGTCATTCAACTTTCAATAGGGATACTGAGATAGTCCATACTATTGATTCCCACATGGGTACAATGTGTGAAGCCCATTTCTGGTGTCACCCGCCGTGATATTGCTGGAATATTGCTAAAATCGGTGTAAAACTAAATTCAGTCCACCATACTATTGAAAATGATCCCAACAGAATGAAGTGTTTTTTTGTTTAATCAACTTCAAATGAAGCTGGATATATTTCTCTTCCATGGCAATATGAGATGCTATTTGTATGACAGCACATTTTAGCTATCAATCTCATTCAGACACCACCTGGATACTCCACACCCCTATCAAAGATTGAGTAGTGTATTAAAACCCATTCAGGATTTTTGCCACCTTTTGGCATTTGTCTAGCAACATTGTTCTTTGAAAAACTCCAGTCAACATCTACATCTTGGCAGTTTGGCTTGTAAGATAATAACTAAGAGTGCTGTGGTTTAATTATGTGCCTGCCCGTGTATATTACTGTAGCTGGCTACTTAGGGTGTTAGCAGGGTGAGATTAACAGCTACACCCCATTATGATTTAGCTGGTAATCTGGGATGGTGATTGTGTTCTTACTGACTCACTGGATTGTATACCCATGTATACTGTATACAAAGATGTGGCATACGGTTGCTGTCCTTCAGGTGGGCCTCTTGAACAATAGTGTTAGGAAACATTTAGTCACTGCATAGACAGTAAACCATTTGCTTTTGTAAATTAACATTAACTTGATACGGTACAAGTAGGTTGGTTTATGAATGGTTGATTAACTTTGAATATTTTACAATTGGCTTTGTAGACTAACACTTAGTCGCTGAATATGTATAATATTATTTTGATAATGAGGCCTAAAAAAAATAGTTTGTGGTTCCGATTACCTGACCGACCCTTGAGTTCTGTAGCCGACCTGATTTTTTTTTAAGCGGACTAAATAAAATCAGCCTTCAGATACCATTGTTTTCCCCCCAGCGCCGACAGATATCGGTCATACTGATAGAGATGATGATGTCCGTAAGCTTGATTGAATAAATAATTACACATTGATACATGTGTTATTAGTTTGTACTTTACTTCTTAAAAATAGGGCGGTGGGGTAGCCTAGTGGTTAAAGCGTTGGCTCGTCACGCCGAAGACCCGGGTTCAAATCCCCACATGGGTACAAATGTGTGAAGCCCATTTCTGGTGTCCCCCGCCGTGATGTTGCTGGAATATTGCTAAAAGCGGCGTAAAATCAAACTCAGTCAGTCAGTCTTAAAAAAAATATGTTAAAAAAAAAATCCTACCTACCTACCCTAAATTTAAAGTGGTATAATCGGAACCACAACATTTTTTTAATTTGGCCTAACAAATAAACCCATTTAAATTGAAAAGGAGCCCCAGTGAGTTGGGAGATTCTGAAACTGGGGAAATCTAGACCTTGCTAGCAATTCTCGAAACGTTCGTAGCCCTACGAATTTCGTAAGCCCATTCTTAACACATTGGCTACGATCAGAGTTAAGAATTCTGAGGGCTACTGAACATTTCGAGAATAAGGGCCCTGCTTCATTTAGGACTTGAGCATTGCAGGGATGGCTAGTGAGTAGGGAAAGTAATGTGGTTCAGGGACTGTGAGACAGAGTGTTTACTTTGCTGTCCTTCTGCCTGTCTGGCACTGATTACAAAAGTTCCGTATTAAATAGATATTTTTGTCCATATTGCAGCCAAGAATTCTCTCTGATGACTTAGTTGATAACATTTTCATTGTACCCTATGGGTTGGATTGTTGTTCATGATGTCAAACACCGGATTGTCTGGTCCAGACTTGCTGAGTGCAGAGTTGAGCAAACAAAGTACTTAAATAGCATGCACCACAATGACCTATTTGTACAGGTTAAATCATTCAGCATGAAACAGTCACAACCTTTTAGAACTCTGTGATCTATTACTCTTATATCACACTGGGAAACTAAGAAACATATTATTTCCTGTAAAGAATGTTAAGTAGTAATTCAAATGATACTGCATGTATCCATAATAATAATAATAATAATAATGTCATTATAAAGCTGTCCACACACTTATGAATTCAGTAGTAATTCATACTGCATGTATCCATATTCATTATCAGAATATGTAATCCAATAAAGTAGTGTGAATTTATTTTCCTTGCCACACTGATCAATGTTGGACATGTCAGTTCATGTTATGGAATTGTGAAAATATATTAATATACATGTAGTGATACACTACAAACATTATGTAAAATGAAAATATCATCAGAGGCCCAGATAAGCTGCGTATCCGGGTAAAATACGCATAGAATTATGCATTGAGAAATATTTGTTGCGTACCAATTATGCATTTAAAATGTTAGATATGCAAAAGTTTAAAACAAATGCGTACAGAATATATTTATAAAAATCGCTTGCACAAAGAAAAAGACATCGATTGCTATCAAGTTGTACTGTTAGTATAGGACAAATATTGTAATGTGAGTGAAGATATGGGTTAGATTTGATTTTCAGTAACCCATGCTTGTCGTAAGAGGCGACTAATGGGATTGGGTGGTCAGACTTGCTGACTTGGTTGATACATGTCATCATATCCCGATTGCGTAGGACGATGCTCATGCTGTTGACCACTGGATTGTCTAGTCCAGACTCGATTATTAATATTCCACCGCCGTATAGCTGGAATATTGCTGAGTGCAGCATTAAATAACAAACAAACCATCTTCTGGTGAACAGACACCTTGACCACGTGAATGTCTGTGGATGGGAAGAATAAGGAATTGTAAAAACTTCAAAACACCACTAATTATTGCATATATTATAGTAATTATTTGTGGTTATTTGTAATTAATTTATCTTGATAGCAATAGCAAATGAGATTTGTTAACATATTTTTTTCAAATCGATGTATTTATAAAGGTATAGTTTTTTGGAGTCGGCAGAGGAATGACACATGAAAGCATAGGGGTTACATGTATGAGCAGGGCATAGTATGCATTGGCTACTGTGTCAAAACCACTTTTGTTTTATGGTGTTTTTTAAACCTGCACTATATGACCAGCATAAAACTGTACAGCTATAGCATAATCCCAGGTATAATTTGAAACAATGTTGGATGCATCTATTTAAAAGTTGTAGTAATATACAGCAAGACTCAATGTATAATCCAATTACCCTGTTTAGTGAAGGTTTAAAGGAGACAGTTTCCTCCTCTGCACCGAACCTATTGAAGTAGTAGAAGCCTTTGAACTCTGTGTATGATTTAATTAGTAGATCTAGGATGTAGTACATGGGTTGTTAGGTTGGAATGGTGGTATAACACAGATTGTGACTAATTGATGTCAGGGTTAAAAGGCCAGGGTAGGGGTCAGTGCTGGTTGTTTTAACATGAACATGATGTACTTTGTGTATGAGTGCTATCATCACGACAGCTGGGGGGGCTTACCAAAGGTTGGGTTTGGACGAGAAGTGCGTGGACTCAGATAAGTGTCGGTGGGAGCCACAGATTCCATCAAGTTTTCGCGTAGTAAGGAAAAGGAATTAACCTTGTGATAGAAATAGGCAAGTTTCTGGAAATCAGTTTCTATGCAAAAACATAACATTTTTTATCACTCCCTGACTTGAGGCAAAATATCAAGAAAGATGTAAGGATACTTGAGCAGGTTGCTTCAGAGAATGTTCAAGTACCTAACAATTGTTTGGTTCTGTCTTGAGCAAAACTTGCAGGAAATATTTGGTTGTCTTGGGTGCAGTGAGTGTTTAATCTTTTCCAGGTTGTATTGTTACATATACACTGACAGAGATAGTAGGCCTGTTGCCTGACTTATCTGTGAACACGGTATTCTTCGATAACACACTTCCTTATGTTATCAGTGTTGCTGTAACTGTGTGAGGAAAGGACAAGCAGTTCAACAATTACAGTAGTTTAACATTTTATTGCTTATACTGCAATATTTGTATGAGTGCTGTATAGTACCACAGTAGCATTGGTTCCCAAGCATGCACGTCGCTGATGTTCTCAGGTCACATATAAGAACATGAAATAGTTGGATGTTTTGTGAGGAGGGTTTGTCTCAAGGTTCTTGAATGATATTATATTTCTTCTACCTGTTGTGCAAAATCTCTAAATGAAGAAAGTCTAAATTTTCTTCAGCTTCATCTCATTATGGCCGCTTTTTATATTAAATAAAGTTGTTTGTTTCTGTCCAAAATATATAGTTTCAGAGACTAAGTGTTAGTCTGGAGGAGCGTTAACAGATTTGAGGATCTAGTTGCGATAAAATCTGATGTGAAGCTGTGTTTGAAATGGATATGGGCACTGACAGGTCTCTTTAGAGGAGGTTTATTTTTATATAAGACACCAATGATAAAGCACCTTCAGTTTTTTTGTATTTTTTAAAAATTTCATTGATAAGAACATGAAGCTATCTATATCCAAGCCTGGTTTCAATGTCAACATCTGATATTTTCACTTGCTACACAACTGTTTTCATATGACTAGTTATATTGTCATGACATGAGAGATCAGTAATAGTCATATACACATTATGGGTCTTTATAACAAACAATATACATTTTCACTGGATCATTTACAGTATTATGTGTAGATGTTTGATCAGTCAGTAACTATCATCATTTGTATTGTTATGTTGTTGAATCAACACTCTTAAACCCTTACTAGGTTGGGTATATTACACTTCCAGCATCTTTACTGTTCATATTCTACTGTGTTGCTGGGTGTAAATGTATGTGTAACTTGTAAGTGTATGGATGTGATGTTGCTGTAGATTGACTTCCTGGTTGCCTGGTTGTATCCTGACAGATAAGCAGGATGATATATATGCTCCATCTAGGAAGTTAATTCCTGCCTTGAAAAGAACTCTTATATTCAGAACTTAGTTTAACATGTAGGCTGCACAGGTCACCTAGTTGTCTCAATTAACAAAGAACACAGATTTTGTAGGAGGGTGATTGTAAGTAACCGTGAATTACACCATATGTTTGTCACATGTTTTACACCAGATTATTTTCTTAGTGTTCGGTACAATTACTGGAAATGTTACTGTTGTCTTTGATGGGAAGAAACTGCAAGTCCACACAAGTAGGTGGTTTGGGACTACATGTATCAGGTTCACTACGTGTCACATATTTAACTTAGTAATCACAGTCCACAATGTGCCTGTTGAATAATTGATTCATAATTTTACTTCTCATTTTCACCTTTTGTAAAAGTATATAGAATAAATATATACTTCATAAGGAAACTTTTGTGAACCAAAGTGATAACTCCCCTGGCCACCATTACATTATACAGCGTATCACGAAACAAAATGGTAATCTGTGTGTAAATAGTATTAATATTGTCTCAGCCAGCCAAAACACTGCTATTAGCATGGCTAAATCGACTGGGAGGACTTCCTGCATATATTATGACATCCATAACGTCTGTTGGCTTTGACCAACCACAGAGTGTTTGTAGACAACAAATACTTTAACCATTGTCAACACTAGTATGGGCGGTAAACATTTTACCCATGTAGGTAATGGAGTTTATACTATGAATGTTGGGTTGGCTGGGCCATCACAAAGGAAGGTTACCATCCTTAAAAAGTTCATGTCGTGCATTGGTAATTTTTATTACAGGGCCCACGACAGTTTCTGTTCAGATATGTAATAGGATGTAAGATGGAGAGGGCATATGTGTTAACAGAAATACAGTGAATATCTGGGCAGTCTTCAGCTAGCAATGTTGTCTCTGGTTGATGCATGCTATCATATTCCAACTGTGTACATCCCTGCTGATGATGTCAATCAGTGGATTTTCTGATCCAGACTTGATTATTACCGACCCATTATATGGGTTGTATATTGCAGAGTGTTGTGTTACAAAATGACAAACAAAGCAATATTGAACAAACTTAATGGCAACAACTTCTTTCATTTCGTGTGTGCGACATTTAGATACAGATCCTTGTCAAGCAGCTTGACAACAGTACAAGAACCTGTATCAAAGCGTCACACTCACAAAATAAAAGTTCTAAAATGCCACTCAAAGAAGACAGACAAAGCATTGAGATTTCATTTAGCTATTGATTTGGTTTTGTACATTGTTTGTTTCTTGTCATTTAATGTGTGTTTTTCTGTTTCAGATGTAACTAAGATGTAGCGGAGTGTATCATGACGTTATCCTATATAGAGGGCTGTGTGTGTGGGCCGTTGCCAGCAGTGTATTACAGCATGTTCAGCTCCGTGAAGTAACAATGGCCACCAACTATGACATCTGTCCTTCAAGGGTTCAAATTCTGCGCCAGCTTAGTAGCATGGAAACATTCATGGTCAGAATTTACACAGGTTCTCTGAGCCAAGAGACCGAGTTTGTCAGTGTAGAAGCGGAAAAAGGCACTCCTGCGTGTGATGTTGTCAAAGTTGCAGTTCGCAAGTTGAAGTTGGGAAACAACCCCCACAATTACGAAATTGCTGAAGTGTTTTCATCTGGAGGTCAGTTGTGTAAGGAAAGAAGATTAGACCCAATGGATAACCCGGTTCGAGTCCAGCTTCTTTGGCCAAAGGTCATCAATGCTGAAATTGATAGAGGTCAAGGCCTTTACACAGGATACCGATTCTACATCAGAAAGGCAGATCCTGAAACCCAAAAGGTTTCAGGATGGGTTGAGTGCAAAGATGCTAGTGTAGTAGACTCTTTCTTGAGTTCCTTTCTGAAACAACCAACAAGCAATAAGGAGTACACTGATTTGTGCAATCTGCCAGATCTGAATGAGAAAACATTATTGGAAAATATAAAAGCTCGTTTCGAGAATGCCAACATCTATACCTATGTGGGATCAATCCTCATTGCTGTGAATCCTTTCAAGTTCTTCCCAATATATAATCCCAAATATGTGAAAATGTATCAGAATAAGTGGCTTGGGGAATTACCGCCACACATTTTTGCAATAGCAGATGCTGCATATTCCACAATGTTGAGGACTAAACAGAACCAGTGTATAGTGATATCTGGAGAGTCTGGTTCAGGGAAGACGGAGAGTACCAACCTGTTGCTTCATCACCTGACAGCCCTCAGCCACAAAGGGCTTCATGGAAGTGGGGTGGAACAGACCATCCTTGGGGCAGGGCCAGTACTGGAGGTGGGTAGTTGAAAGGAAAGGTGGCACATTTTGTTTAAAGCAATTGAGTCCAGCTTTTGATAGACATCATTTTCTTAATTTCAGTGGATTTTTTATTTTAGATTTTTGAGTTGCATGTTTAATTTATCTGAACTTACTAAATCAAGAAATATGTCATGAAAGATTCAGTCTTTAGAAGAGTGGCTTTTGCTTTTAACACGCTGAGTGTTGGTGACTGTGAAGTTTTATTACCTGAAGCCCTAGTTTATTGTTGGGTTAAAACAGCTTATAGGAACGTGATTAGAATCTGATGGGATAGGTGAAGAATGCTGACAGCTTGGGATTTTTACTTGTAGTGAAATCTGTTACTATTTGTTGCAAGAAGCATCTCGATACATCTAGGCCACTCCTAGCAGAACCATCCTCCTGTGGGCAGCTGTACATAGTTTGTTCTGCTGTCATGAGTGCTTGTCAGTGTTGAGAGGTTCCAATAAGATAGGCCAAATAAAAAAAATGTTGTGGTTCTGATTACATCTCTTTAAAATTTAGCGTAGTCAGGTAGGATCTTTTTTTTGTGTGCATATTTTGTTTAGAAGGAAAGTACAAACTAATAACACATGTATCAATGTGTAATTGTTTATTCAATCAAGTTTGCGGCCATCATGTCGACTTTCTCTATCAGAATGACAAATATCTGTTGGTGCCAGGAAAAAACAATAGTATCTGAAAGCTTATTTTATTCAGTCTGCTTAAAAAAAATAGGGTCGGCACCAGAATTCAAGGGTCAGTCGGGTAATTGGAACCACAACATTTTTTTTTAGGCCTTATCTGTTGTTAGCACTAGTTCCAATTTCCTTGTGGACAGTTCCACTGTTCTTACAGCAGGGTGTTAGCTGATTCAACATACTTTCCAAATGACATTGCACACCTCGTGGTGAGGTGGTATGTAAAACATTGTGACGGTTTGAATCTATAATTAATAAAAACTGACACGGCATGTTATGTATGACCGCCATTAGTATTCTGGTATGAACTACACTCAAAGTTCAGGGGGGCAGGGGTTGATTTTCTCCAGTTTAATATTATCTTTAATAAGCTCTAAGGTTTTGAAGTATCACAGATATAAATTTAAACATTGTGTGGAATCCCTTGTTAAAAAGGGTCAAAGAGCATACTATGTTCTCTCTTCTAACTTGTTTGGAGATGATTTAGATCCAACAGTCTGCTGCAAAATTTTCAAGGCAATTGTTGAACCTGTTGTTCTGTATAACAGTGAAGTATGGGGAATTGATTTTGTTCTGCAGAGACATATAGATTCTTTCCCACCTGAAAAATTACAAACGAAATTCTGTAAACGTACTCTGGGAGTTTCTCAGCAAACGCATAACTGGGCATGGGCCCTATTATTCAGAGTAATTAAATCAGTTGTTCAATTCTACAATCATATTTTACAATCTCCAAATACCATTTTAAAACATGCCTTTAATGAATCAATAAAGATTGCCAAACACGAAATTGGATGGTACTATAAACTCAGTTGCCCCTTAGATAAGTTTAACATCAAGGAAAGTAATCTTACTTCCTCCTCTATACTGAAGGACCCAATTGAAATTTACAGACATGTTCCACTCATCTCTTCAAGATAATCCAAACACATTAATTTCAAGGAACAAACTTAGAACATATAGAAAATTTAAATCTGAAATCAACTTTGAACCGTACCTGCAACACTGCAAAATAAAAAAACACCGTATCCACTTCACAAAACTAAGACTGAGTGACCATAGACTAAAAATTGAACTGGGTAGGAGAACAAGACCACCTACACCTTTGGAGGACCGTCTGTGTGATAAATGTTCTGTCCTTGAGGATGAACAACACCATTTCATGTGTTGCACTAAATATTCAGATGCAAGAAAGTCCTTATTTAACTCCCTTTCCTCTACAACTAATAACTTTCTCAGACTTACTACCACTGAAAAATTTAACCTCCTTTTTAGAAATAATGATCCAAATACTATAGAAATTATTTGCTACCATATGTACAACTTTAAACAAATATAGAAGATCTGATTGTGCTAGGCCATTATTATTATTATACACATTTGTATTATTATATGTTTTATTGCTCATCATATATATGTGATTCATTATATATCTTGTTTATGTAGTTTATAGAATATTGTCACTGTTTCTGTATGGAACGTTTGCACAATAAATATTTGATTTGAAATTTGATTTTATGACAACAGTACATTTCTAAGATGTCAAATGAAGCATGAGAAGGTTGTTTACTTGGCGGCCCTGTGTAGATACCCAGGTGACCAGGCACCATCAGGTCATTACCATGTGCGAGTAACCTCTGGATGCCAAACTGTAGTTTGTTTCAGTTTCACTAATCATTGACCCTTTGGTCAGTGTTGGCGACTGGCTGTGAATGTACTTGCAGCTAACAACAGAAATATCACACATGTGATGATGCCTATTTTCACCAGTCTATCAGTCTTTGACCAGATGTGTCCTTGAGCCCAGGAACAGTGGTGCTTCTTGCACCAGTTGTTTCCCATGAGTTAACCTGTGGTGAGAGTTTGTTGAGGACTTATTGTAAGTGTATCTACTGGAGCCATGGCTGTGTCCAGGAATGTCCATGTTGATCCCAGCAGTCTCATTAACTGTGTTACAAACACCTAGCCTGCTGGGTGTAATGATTCATGTCTATCATGCGAAACAGTAGTGGAGGGGGCAGGTGACAACATTCAGATGTCATACTCAGGGGCGTGTTTGGGCTTTTTTTAGTAGTATATTTTTCTGTGTCAGATGTCAATGGAGTGGGATAAATTACATCAGCTAGAAACTATAGATACCTTCATTGTTAACTCTAAAAGTGTATACATTTTATTCAGTCGACAAATGGAGTTTTCAAAGTCCATGTGTGAAGGACAAGGGTCAACTATTTATTATACCCGGAACTACCTCCACCTTAACAACTTCTTTTATTGTGACCATCACATTTAGCTGTGTCATCTTGTTACTTTCAGCTATCACAATAATTTTAAAGTGTTGGTAGCAAAAAGGGGACAGATTGTGATTTATGCTCTCATCAATTTTTATAAAAATGGGGTAATGGATCCATGACTTAAGAAACATGCAATTAGTTTGGTTTGTGACAAAAGCATAAGTTGTACATATACATGTTGTAGGTAACATAATTTTCATGTGAGTATGAAGTTTAGTGATGTTTGAAGGAAATGGTTCCCTGTAATGTTAATGATGGGTTTGATCATGATATTGACTGAATACAACAGAGATTAGTCTAGATTGAGAGGCTTGCGTCAGAAACAATCAGGGTCACGGAACCTTCAGAGCTAATCAAAGGAAATCATTGATTTGTAGCTGTATAGGTGTTTGATTACCTTCAGTTCAATAGTGAACATACAAATATTTGCTTTTGCACCAAATAAGCATTCTACTGACTGCATTTGACAATGTGATGCACTTGGTGTTTGATAAAGCCATGTGTAGACAAATATGTTGTGTGCTTGGCAGTCGTTGAATCAAAGTGCCCTGTGTATATGATGGGCTGACCGTTCTCCATAGCCTCGGCCTCATAGCCTCTGCCTCTCACTGGCTTCAGTGTTTTGATACATTACGTGTATGTCTGTTGTTTCACACAACACACCATTCATGTCATAAATGTGCAAATTTGTCTGCCCAGTGTCATGGAACAAGGTGAAATATTTATGATGGAATATGTCAACCAATTATTGGTGCATTGTGTTGAGGGTAGCTGTTGATTCAAATTAAGCTGCTATGTAGAAGGTGTGTGAAGTATTTCAGACGGATTTCAAACACTATGTTTGACCTGTGGCCTCATATTGCAAAGTGGATCATAGTTTTTATTCAGGGAAACTCTTGAAACTGACCCTTAAGTGAGTCTGCAGTGAGTGCTGCCTCAATGTGTGGTAACAGAGTTTAGTAGTAATTGGGGTTGTAGCATGTTGAGTGCTTCTGTTATTCCCCTTTTCCAGGTTGATCAACGATAGACATGTCATAGGTCCATTTGTCCTAAACTATTAAAAATCTAGAGGCACTAGTATTTTTCTCTGCAAATCAAATTATCTTTCATTAACCACTAGTCCAAAGCTGGAGACTGACTGAATTTTCCCCAGTGATGTCAAGTCCTGCTGGTTCATGCTTCTTGTCATGTACTTCAACATAAAACAATATTCACCCAGATAAAAAGTGAAAAGGTTGATCAGTTAAGCATCATGAACTGAGGTGTATTGAGAAGATATATTTACCAGCTAACCTCACCATGAAGCTTATCAGGGAGGCCATGTGTCCTGGATGTATGAAGGGCTTCCTGTATCCTGGTGTTGGCTGTGTAGCCTGGTGGTGGCGGCAGCTTGCCCAGGTGGTTAGCCACTGTCAGCAGCCTGGGATATACTACAGACTGGTGTGTGCAGGCATACCTTCCCCCTGACTGGTGTCACAGCTGGATGCAGGGCTGTGGAGATCCTTGCAGGGAAGTCAGTAAAGGAAGACTAGTTGTTTTCACGATTCAGGGTATGACTCCTTCCATCTTCCCAACTTGCAGGGAAGTCAGTCAGGGAAGTCATCTGGGAGACTTGGTTTTTTTCACGATTTTGTTCAGGGTATGACTCCTTCCACCTTCCAGTTGAAACCCCCAGATGAAGGTGTGTATACATCCTTGAAGGGAAGTCATCTCTCTGACCAGTTGTTTTCACAATAAAGTTCAGTGTGTGACTCCTCGCACCCTCCCCTAGATTCAGTGTGACCCACCCCTTGAGCCCCTGTAGATGCAGTGTGACCCACCCCTTGAACCCTCCCAGATGCAGTGACCCACCCCTTGAACCCTCCCAGATGCAGTGACCCACCCCTTGAACCCCTGTAGATGCAGTGTGACCCACCCCTTGAACCCTCCCAGATGCAGTGTGACCCACCCCTTGAGCCCCTGTAGATGCAGTGACCCACCCCTTGAACCCCTGTAGATGCAGTCT